AAAATCCTTATGTTCTGGCTGATGATGCAGATGATGATAAAAGATGTTATTATCTTTTAACATATTACAAACATCACTTCCAATTTGTATGTTCTTCGGCTACAATTCATGAAAATTCAATAATAAATATCAAATCTTGAAAGGTAGTTGATGATTGTGCAACTATACTAAATTTGAGTCTATTATTATTTCCAGAGTGAAATAACAGTAATCTGGTGGACGATTGGAGCATTAGAGCCTTCTTTAGTTTCAAGAGTGAAATAACAGTAATCTAATGGACGGTTGGAGCATTAAAGCCTCTCCCTCCAACCCAGCGCTACTTCTTTGTATTTTCGCTAAACTGGCGCAAAATCTTCCTCCAAACCATGCGTTGGAAATTAGTGCAAAATCTTCTTTACTCCCCTTAGACCATCTCTAATGTTTTACTCTACTCTAATTTAGAGAATGTCAAAATTTAACTTTTGTTTCCAGCCGTTTGTGTTATATTCTACTCTACATGAAATATACTAGTACAAAATAAAATTTAAATACAACTATAAAATCAAAATTTTAAATTATTTAACAAAATAAATAATTTTATTGATGTATATCTTATCAAAATAATATTTAGAAATAAAAATCAATTAAAAAATCTAAAATTTGAAGGAAAAAATTGTAGCGCAGTGCTACATGTAGCATAATAATGTTCATATCATTAGAGTAGTGCGTAATGTAGGGCAACATTGGAACAAGTTTTTCGCACTGCTCTGGAGTAGAGTAGAAATGTAGCGCAACGCTGGAGAAGCTCTTAGATCTCAGTGCTAGAGTGGAAAATGAATACTGTTGCCCCACTAATCTTACTCCCGTTAGATCGCGCTAGAGTGGAAAATAAATAGTTTTGCCCCACTTCTGGCGCAAGCCGCGCAACACTGTAGCTAGCACTACATTTTTTATTTTTTTTTTACATATTTTAATGTAATATTATTTATAAATTTGTGTATAACGTGTATTAGTAAATGTATGTTTTATGTCTAATTAATTTTTTTTATTTATTGATGTATTATAATTTTATTTTATAATTTTTTAATATTAAAATAGTACTATATGAATAAAAATTTAACACAACCAAACAAATAGATTTCATTAAAATCAAAAGTTTACAACACACGTACCAAAATTTGGGAAAAACTTACAAACAAGCACCCTCTTAATAATCACACTATCACACGTACCAAAATTTCCCTTTTGTATTCAAGTCCAAACCCTCAAATTCTTTGTTCACTGTAGCTCGTCTTAATTGAAGATTATCAGTGCGAATATTGTTGCGCAAGATTGGAGATTGATCCCTCAATTCAGCTCCAAGGATCGGATCCGATCGGATAAATTAGTTCCGATTTGTTCAACTTCTTCCACTTCCCCCCTTACCTTTTGGTTAGCCTGATGCTTCCGGTGAATAATCAATAAATTTCGAATCTTGTTTGAGAATTTTCAGCTGAGAGAAGAGAAGTTAAGTCATGTTCTATGGTACGGTGACGTGGGATCCGTGGCTGATAGTGGCTCAAATCGCGTGCCTTCAATGTCTGTACTATCTCAGCCTCGGATTGTTTCTGTCAATTCTCGTCGGCCCCCGGGTAGCGAAGATGAGCCTCGTGTATTTCTTCGATTTTGCCACGATTACTGCCTCCTCTTTGACTGGCTGGTTTGTTATTGCTTCCATTGTCCTCAGCTCAATAGCCGGGTGAGTTGTGATTCCTTGTTTCTATATTGTCCTATTGATTGTTCTTGGTGCTTGAAACGCGATTGTTGGTGAATCTATATTCTGGATTTTTTTGGTGATCCTGAGATCTTGCTGAATTTCTGTTGATTTAGAAGATTTTGGTCAATGTGTGATATGCTTTGAGCTCACCAAAACTTTTTTCTGAGGTCTAGATTAATCGGCTTAGTTGTTATGGAGAAATCTGACTTGATTATATTGAAATTCTTGTTAGCTAATGTTATTGGGAAACGGGTGCTATATCAAACTAATCCTCGAGGGGTAAAAAGGGCACAATGAAATTGTTAGTGGCGATGAAGATTTATGGAGTTTATTTTGAGGTTGGGGGTGGAAGCGGTTCAGAACATCCAAAAATGGAAGGCAGAGTTCAATAAGAGAAGGATGTATTTGCCATGCGAATTATGTAGAATCTCTTGTTTTATTGAAGTAAACTTTCATCTGCCAAACTTATCTAGTTGCACTTACCTTTATTATGTGCTGATTTTCAACTTAAACTTTGGAAGTATATGTAGATGAGAATGATATTATACCTTTAGACTTGCTATCACATTTACCATAGTACCATTCTCGACTCGCTCACTTGTAATTCCTTTGCTTTTTGGTACTAAAATATTGAAATTAAGATTCTCAACCATTTTTGTTCTTACTTTTTTTTGGGCAGAGCTGTATTTTTAGTGTATATAGTGGAAAGGGCAAAGAAATGTCTGGATTTCTCTGCAACTCTTTACATAATCCACCTTCTCATTTGCTTAGCATACGGAGGTTGGCCTTCATCTATAACATGGTGGGTTGTGAACATTACCAGTCTAGTTTTGATGGCATTGTTGGGTGAATATTTGTGCATGAGGCGTGAATTACGAGAAATCCCTATTGCAAGATATCGATCAGGTAAATTTCCTTTTTGTTTATGTCTTGATCAATTACCATGAGATGAAATACAATTTACTTTATCCTTTCCTTTTGGTTGTGTTTGTCCAAAAAAAAATAAAAAAATCCTCAACTTTCTTACTTGTTTTTATACGTTAAGATGGAAAAAATGTTTTGTAATTTACTATTTTCCATATCTACGTTTCCGACAGTTTTTTTGGCTTCTGCTTCCAACTATTGAGTATTGTGCACCTTCTCTATCCTAAATAATCCATCTTGTATTTTTACATTGGTGTTAGGTCTGGAAGTTCGTTCTAATAATATATATGAATAATAACACATTTAAATTTACTTATGACACCTTGATATTTGTTTCTGTTTACAACTTGTGTAAAGTCTAAGATGGGATACTGACTAATTGTGAAGCAAATCCAATTCTAAATCGGTTTCCTTATATATATATATGTATATGTGTGTTTAATTAGACACTATCCTTATGTTCCTGGTTTGCCTCATCTTCATCTATAAACCATAACTTTGTGTAACACTCGGTCTTGGTAATTATTGATTTTGTCGTCATTTTCTAGTTCCTCTAACAACCCAAATTCAGTTGGGGTTGTGATATATATCTGATGGATTGAGTATATAACCACTCACATGTCTTCTCTCCAGTAAATGCAGATGTATAATGAGTGTAAACTTTTGAAGGCCAGTATTAATTGAGAGCCTGTGCTGAAATTGTTGATGAAGCTTATGCCATTATTTGTAGCTATATTTATTGTATGGAATTGGTCCCACCTGCTGCTGGCGTTTGGACATAGCTCATTGCTTAATAGTACTTTTTGTTGATCGAGTTTCGCTGAAAGAATTCTGAGCACTGCTTGTCAAATTGAATTATTGATAGTGTAGTTAGATTCATCATGCATTCGATTGAGTATCACGGAGAAGACTTATTAAATGTTTGGTTCTGAGGATTAAAGAGTAGAAAGGAGCATTGGTTTTACTAAATCTTACTGTTTTTGTTTTTTGTTTCCCTTTATACAATACCAGAAAAACAAAAGAACCCTCTAGTGCATATGGGAAGGTGCTTCCTTATAGTGTATTTTATGCAAATTGATTTTTTAAACTAAATCCATTGAAGAATTAGGACAATATCCATTGTCTAACCTAGTGAAATGAATTTCAGAATCAAACACATTATAATGTAACAATATTTAACCAGTTTCGTTCACATGGACCCATATTTATTTTAATACGGACAAATTGAACAAATAAAAACGTTTGACAAGAATGCATAAATACAACAAACTACCAAAATTCAACACGCGCCTTTTCCTTTGACGTAAAAAATGTTTTTAAGATAACCGACCACAGTGGGAGTCGAACCCACGACCTTTTGATCCGAAGTCAAACGCGCTAATCCACTGCGCTATGCGGTCCTGATATTGTGAACATTTCATTTTTCAACTCAAAACACAAAATATTCGGTATTGGAGATTAGCATAATTATTGCCAAAGGCAAAAACCGGAAGAATAAAACATTCTTACATATGGCAGAAAACTTACATGTACAAAAAGACAAATCATTTCAAGAATTTCATTAATCGCAATAACTTCCACTATCCCCTATTCCAAATTGTACATAGTACTCTTACACTTCTTCCATTTCATTATTCTTCCAGTTGCCGCAACATAAAGCTATTTGTCCAACATTCATACGTATATCCAAATAAAAAAGAAATGTGACACCAAGCTCCACTTCTTCCAAAATATACAAAAATTCAGAAAGAACAACATCAGGAGTTGCAAATCCCCCGCATTGCATCAATAACACTGATTTACAAGGCAAGAACATTTACCAACAGTTCACAAAAAAAAATAAAAAAATAAAATGAACATGAAAAATCATTGAATCCGAAAAGCCGAAAATGCCCTTTCAGACATGCGTGACGAAAATTATGAATCCTTGTTCTCCATGTCGACTTTCCTCTTCCGATTGACCTTTTTTGCCGACACAGTATTCTTCTTTCCCATTTCCACTTTCCGCTGGCTTTTATCATTCGCCTGAGTCTTTAGCCGCAATATCTCCCCCTTTGCCGACGCCAGTTCCTCTTCTAATTTTTGTCCTCTGCTTTCCAAGTTATCCCTTTCGTCCTTCAGCCTCGTGATAAGGCTATTCGCATCCTCCAAATTTTCCCGAGCTTCTTGAGAAACCCGTTTCTGCTCGTCAAGTGTCTTCAAGGTCAAATCTTTCTCATCCTCCAAGATCGAAATCCGGGATTTCGCAGCCTCCAAGTCTTTGGAAAGATTCGAGACATGATGATTTATCTTGCCGAGTGATTCAGTTGATTCTTCTAAGTCCACTTCAAGAATCTTCCTTTTTTCGTTGTCTTTGGAAATTTGGCCCTTCAACGTCTTTATCTCTTCATGCAACGAGGACGAGGTCGTCTTTTCACCTTCTAGTTCTTGAAGGGCATTTTCGGCTTTTTGATGGGCGTCTACAAGTTCATTTTGTAAGGAGTTGTGGTTTTGCACTAATGCAGCTAGTTCTTGGGATATAGTTTCTTTCTCTTCATTTGATTTGATTATGAGATCCTTTGTGGACCTTAATTCTTCAGATAAAATCTCAGCCGCCTTTCTGGTTTCACCCAAATCCATTTTTAATGAATTTTGAGTTTCTTCAAACTCGGTCTTGAGCTTGGAGATTTCAGCTTCGAGCTCCGAGCACGACTTTCTCGATTCTTGAAACTGTTTTTCGAGATCAGAAGCTTCATTCCTTGAAATCTCCAAAGCTTCCTTTGTGATTTCGAGTTCCTTCCTGAGATTCTCCACGTTTTTCAGTTCATTGTTGAGAATCTCGGTTAAACCATCTTTTTCGGACGTCAAATCAGAAATCAAAGATTTCTTTACTTCAACATCATCCAAACAGCCCTTAAGTTGCACCTGAAGCTGCCCGATAATTTTTTCTTTTTCTCCCAAAAGTTCAGCATCTGCAGCTGCTTTTTTCTCTGCTGACGATTTAAAACAATCATATTCCTTCACAATCGAAGCCAAATTTTTGCTTGTTTCATCTACCTCAGCACGTGAAGCAATTAAATCTGCATTCAAACTATCTACAATATTACCCTTCAGTTCCAGCTCCTTTTCCTTTTCCCCAATTAAACCCTTCAATCCTTCAATATCCAAATTCAAGCTGCTTATTTGATCCTGAGTTTGCTTGTAAACGACACTCAGTCTATTAAGCTCATTTTCTTTTTCGGCAAGTTTAGAATTCACAATCTCCAGATTATCTTCCTTGTCCTTGTTTTCTGATGAAAGTAAACTCACCCTTTCTTGCAGAACTTCTACCGAATCTAATAATTCCTTCAATTTTTCTTCAAGTGCCCCTTTTTTTTTCCGGGCCTCGTTGAGGTCAGTTTGGAGACCCTCAATTTGGATAGTTTGGCCATCGGCTAATTTTTTCTGTTTTTGTAAATCGTGCCCGAGGCTTTTTACTATACCATTTGCAAGTTCTAACTGGTTTAATAGAGACTGCTTTTCCTCATTCGCTTCTGTGAGTGCCTTCCTTCGAGCTTCTTTCTCATTTAATAGGTCAGACTCGAACTTTTTCTTGAGGAGGGAGATAGTAGTGTCTTTTTCCTTCAGTTTGAAATTAACCTGCGCCGAGAAGAAGAAAGTGATAAATCCAATTACGAAGAAATGCAAGGAAAATCCTTCTAAATAAACGCAGAAAGATCAGGCATTGGTGATGTGGCAATTATGTGCTGGAAAAAGAATATTATTTTAGTTCCAAATCGAGGAAATTTTTCAGTCGAAAGTATGAATTTGTAACATGATTCTCATAAAATACATCATGCATTGGGAAACAGCACAAAATTCAATTCCTATGAAAGAAAGCATGCTCAATTTCAATCTTAAAACTCCATTCAGGTGGCAGGCTTACAGATTCAATAGTGGCATCTGAAGTGGCTTTTTCCTTCTTTAGTGATGCATAGAGAGCTGCAAGAACTCCCGATCCCAGGTATCCAAGCGCATTAAGAAGTGATAAAAATGGCATCTGAGACGAATTTCCTTTAACTGCTTGCTGAATGCAACAAAATGGGGCATTTTTAGCGCATACAAAACTAGAGAGCCACATAAACTATCCTTTTCAATACAATTGTAATTGGCTTAGATGCGGACCTCTGCTGCTTGGTTTGGATTTAGAGTTCCTAACTCTTTATTTTCTGGAAAATCACAGAAACAAAACATAGTTAACATAAAAAGCTAAAAAAGGCAAGTGCTTTTAAAACGTAAAGAATCAAGGAAATTGAACCCTGTGCAAGAAAAAAAACACGAGCTTACATATTTTACTACATTGCCCATTTGGAAAATCAATTTCCATATGTGGGTATTGGATCGGTCCAACTTTCACATGATTAAACCAAACTTTTCTCATCTATACATTACAAAATTCATTTTCAGCTCAAAACTACTCTAAAGGATCTGACACAAAATTGATATAATTCTCTTTTCAGGAATGCAAGTTACTAAGGAAAACGAAAGTAGATGTAGTACAAAAGAGGATACATGGAAATTAAAAGCAACTATTGCAGGACCCTCTGTCAAACATAGCAACATGATGGAAGTATTACTTTGTTATGCTCCATAGTATGTCATATTGTGCTAGATTACACCAACACAAATAAAAAAGTTTATTTACCCTTTCTCATCTTGAAAAATGCAATGAGCAGATAATGTAAAAATAACATTATGCCTTAGGATACAGAGTTAAGTGAATTCAGCATTCTTAAAAAACTATATGAACATTCTTGTCCGTCTAAACAATCTTACTTTGTTTTACACTAAGAATAGTAACCAAGATATTATTGCAGAAGATTAATTGACAGAAAAAATATGAATCTAACCCTATAGCATTTAGTACCTTTTGATTAATATAGTATACAGATAAAATTACTCCAACAAAAAGCAATTAAGAAAGTTATCAGACACGAACTACAACATTCAGCATAACATCACCACTAAACCCAAGATTACCGAAACATACATAATAAGAATCTTGAAATTATGATTAAAAGAAAAATAAATTAATAAGCCAAGCTTACTAGCAGCAAATCCTTCAACAGCTAGGGCATTACTATTAACAAATGGTAATGCCGCAAAACCCATGTAAAGAATCACTCTCCTCTTGCAAAAGCTTTCATCTTTTGTACTTTCTCTCTCTAAACAAGCTACTGAAGTACTGCTCTTTCGGCGAGTGAACCCATTTCTCCGTGAAGTAAACGAAAATGGAGGCTCTAAATTACATACGGAATGCAGAAACAAAGAGCCCATGGCGATCTTTCAATTTTTTCTTTCTTGAATTTTAAGAGAGAAAATAGCAAAAGCAAGGCATGTAACATACTGTCCTCACAGCCCGATGGTTTCTGTGTTTTGGATTTCCTATCCTTCTTTCCTCCATCGCTTTGGAAATTGTGGATAAAGTACGACATATTTACTTGTAGTTTAAAGACAGGCTTGCCCTTTGAGATTATTTTGTTTAGGGTCTTAAATAACATTTTAAGATTTGATATTTTTTAAGACTTTTTAGATTTTGAACAAATATTTGGAGTAGAATTTCATATATGACTTTTTTTTTTTTTTGAAATTTTACAAAATCTTAACAAATTCCACTGTGTTGTATACTAATCACACCGTTAACATATTCAGGTTAAGGAGCTCGGTGATGTGCCAGCGGTGGGACAATTAAAAATTGTACTTCATCACTTGTCAGTTCCATACTGTTAAATAAATGATTATGGTTTTTAACTTTAATACTGTTGGTACAAAAATCTTCTATAGTTTGAAATGGTGAAAAATAGTATTATACTTTGTTTGAAGGGTTTTGGATTTTAAAATATTGATAATCGTTACGGTCGTCTGTACTTACTTGGATTTTAAATTATTATACTTTGTCATATTTATTTTTTGTGAAAATCAAAGTGTTACAGGTTGCTCGTCTATAAATTTCATGGACCCTGTCTGATAGATCGAAAAAAGTGCACGTTTTATATAGTTAATGGTGTATTTTATACACTTAATTTATTTGTATTTTATATTTTTTAACTTATTTATTATTTAGATGAATTCATG